AAGAATCCCAGGGAAATAAAGCTGGAAAAAAGGGTTTCCAGAAGAGGGTTGGTCACAGCTGTGTCCCTGTGACAGGTGCTGGGAAATGCTTCATGGTGCAAATTCCATCTTCACCAAATCCCTTCAGGGAACCTGTCTGAGGACTTCCATTCGTTCTCAGCCATAGGAGAGGATTTTAGCTGGGATGCCAATTACATGGGAGATGATTTGTAGTGCACTTTGGTCTCTATTCATGTTGATTTTGTTTACAAATACGATTTTCTGGTGTTCATTCATGGTCATTGAGCTAAATCTTGGCATATCACTGCAGCTTACTCACGCCCTGTGCTTGAAAAGGCCCGAGATTTATGGGGATGTATTGAAATGCAGTTAAAGCTCTTTCCTTACAGGGGAATTTTGCTTACATTTTGATTTTGAAAAATTACCCATCTAAGTCTCTGACTGTATTTATACTTCTTTTGACAGTAATCCAGTCCCTCATAGCACTGGTGAATGATCCACAGCCCGAGCACCCCCTCCGGGCTGACCTAGCTGAAGAATACTCTAAGGACCGTAAAAAATTCTGTAAGAACGCTGAAGAGTTTACAAAGAAATATGGTGAAAAGCGACCAGTGGACTAAAATCTGACACAAGTGCTGTCAGCAACCTATGATAGAAGATCGGAGCAGTGCATTTGAGACACCCCGTAAAGCAGGACTCTATGGAAAATTGACAAGTGCCACCTTTCGGTGTGAACTTGTGGCTGTTACTAACTTTCTACAGTTTTCTTAATCAAAAGTGGGCTAGGTAACCTGTAAAGAAAGGATTAAAATTTAAGATGTTCTAGTTCTGCTTTCTTTGTTTAAAAATCACTGCTTCAATATACTTTAAAGTATGCTGTTTTCTTTTTCTTGTCAGAATTTATCAAAAATATCTTAGACTTATATTCTGCCCTTAAATTGAAAAGGTTGTGGCTGTCATTTCTTATTTTTCCTTGCAGTTCCCACTATCTTGAGTTCATTCATTGAATTTTAATCCCCTCCTCAAAGTGATGTCTTAGGAAAAATATCCCAGTTCCGGCAGAAAATGATTGAGTGTTTGGCAGTTTCGTTTACTTTTCTTTCTAAATGTTGCACTGTGCTTTGTGGGACTTGTTGCAAGTTCCCCTGAACTTCAGTTTGTAACATAATAAACAAATTCCAACCCACAAAACCAATCAGAAATAATGTCTGGGTCTGATGTAAATCTGGCCAATGTCTATTAAACGGGGAAACCCAAGTTTTTGTGTGCATCATTGAATTAGAATACGGCTTAAGTTCTGCTCTTGGAAAACTTTGGAAAAAAAATCTGTAGCAAACAAGTAGTAGAATGTGATTGCAAACTTCCTTCACTTCTGTCTTTAATACCTATGCAGAGTAGTGGCAAACATGCACAGAACAACATTGCAACCAATCCAGGAGAGTTCCAGAAATCGGGGACCAAGAGGTACCAAAGTGACAAACTATCTTTTGAATTTCAAATCATTATTTTGGAAACGTTAATTTTGAATTCAAGAACTAAATCTGACAGCACTGCTGTCTTCTCAGAACGTTTTCCCTCAGAATGCGTCAGGAGCATCTGTGTTTGTGGGAGGGCCCTGGAGCTGTTCCCAGCCCCAGCACGGCTGCCAGGCCGGGCCTGAGCACTAAGGTGAGGCAGAGTGTGCTTGGCTGCTGCTGCTGCTGGGTTCAGCACAGGGGCAGGGCTGCAGTGAGTGCTCAGTGTTAGTCTGTCCATCAGCTTTGCAGGGGCTGCAGTGAGTGCTCAGTGTCTGTCTGTCTGTCCTGTGGCTGCCCTGGGGCACTCCTGCGCATGCTGAGGGAAAGGACAGGGAGCCTTTCCCCTCAGAGCTGAGCATCCTTTGCCTGTCTCTGCTGCTTCTGCTGCCTTTCTTCCCCAGCTCAGAGCCTGATCCTAGCTCCACAGTCAAACTGCCACACAGTCAACCTGCTGTCTCCCCTTCTGCAGCTGGGCTCTGCTACTGAGTGAATGGATTATTTCCAGTAATCCATCGGTATCTGGGAGCACATATCATTTCGATGTGCAGGAAGCTGAGTTGAAATAACCCTGACACCTAGGTGGTTGCCTGTCCTCCTAAATTCAGTTTTAATACAGCCTCTGCCTTTGCAACCTTTCAGAACTAGCGTGTCAAGCAGTAGATCTCTCTTGGTTTTAATGTCTTGTGTATTTGCTATTTCCTTATTTGTCCCTCTCCTCTGGCTTTCATTTCCAATTTAGTGTAAACAATGACAGCCCAGTACCTCACCTCTGTTGAAAGTAAATTTTTTTATGAGTTAGGGAGCTAAGAAATTTTATGTTTAAGTGTTCTTAGACAGATTCTTTGGCAGGTAAATAAAGTTAAAACACATTCACCTTATTTACGGAAACTTGCATTTCCTAAGTGTTTTCAGGCTTGTGAGAGCACTATTACCAAATTTTCACATCTTTGTGTCTTCATTTGCAGAAAGTTGGTACTGATTTTGTTTCGTTCACGCTCACTCGGATTCATAATAAAATAATGCCAAATTATCTGTCAAACTGAAGTGTGTAACTTCTGCATCACCCGAGTCACTGTACCTTTGATCATGTCTGTTGGCATGGAAACTTACCATCCTCTAAATTTTATTTGAAACAAAACTGTAGCACTAGTTTGCTGCCCTCGTTGCTACTCAATAGTTACTCTGTGGTTGTAAAGCCTCTCAGGTCAAAGACTGCGCCGTCTGCCTGGCTGTGACCGGATGCTGCGGGAAGGGACGGAGGGGCAGCCGCTCCCCTCCGGCTGCAGAGCTCACACGAAGACAGATCTCGCTATCAGTTCTCTTGGTGTGCTCTTCATAGTCCAATTGCTAAACTGTGAGACGTGTAAACAAAGTGCTGGCGCGTGTCTGGGGCAGCCTCTGAACAAAGGGATCCGGCACCTGTGTGGCTGAAGGCTGAGGAGGAGAAATCCAAGTGCGAAGTCCTAGGATAACTCAGGAAATCAAGCTCTTGTTCTCTCTGGTTCCCTAAGCCATGCTGAATTTTAAACGTGCAGTTGAGCATCCACAATGAAAGCAGCGCACTGGTGTAACTACACCCAGGAGTACTGGTATAGGCTTTCTGCAAGTCCATTCTGCTACCCTAATAAAAATTGCTCTCAAAGGCTTTGTGGCATGGTTTTATTTTCACAGAGGTCTGGGAATTAACTGGGCTTGTAGTAGTGGTTTAATTTCAACTTGGGTTGTCTTTAAAGCTTTCACAGAACTACTGAGAAATTTCCTTATCTCCCTATATTTTATGCGATTGAAAGGTTCCCTACTGAATAGTCTTTTAGTAGTTCATTGTTCATTTTACTAATTAAACGTAAATTTGGGGTTTAATGCTCTTCATTTAAAAATAACGACTTTACAAAATCTGTTTTTCACAGTACGGCGCTCGGGTAAAGGCTGCCCTCAGCTCTCCAGTGCTCAGCTGCGAGGAAGTGCATGCAGAATTCCACAGGTGTGCAACGTCCTGATGGGTGCGGTCAGAGCCAATCCAGCGCTTAGAACGTGAGGCAGTTGAAATGTTTATAATAAGGTTTAGAAGTATCCATGAGGACGCGGTGACAATTCCGTCCCCGATGGAGCCCTGCGCTCCGGCAGCGGCTGCAGTGCGGCCCGGGGGGCGCGGGGTGGCGCTGGCAGGGGCGGGCGCGGGGCTGTCCCGGTGCCCCCCGGCAGCATCGCCAGGGTGACGCCTGCCCTGCTCTCACCCGGCCCCGGCTCAGACGTCTAAGGCATTTCTATGATACAGGAAAGAACCGGGAAAAATATTTTCTACCGCATCCTTGATGTTTTTTCCACTTGTACAGGACAGAAACTTCCTGACGTGTTATAGGAAAGGTCAGACAGTTCCCATTAATGATAGAAAGGGAGCCCTTCCAGCAGTGTGGGAGCAGACAGGGGAGTGGGCTTAGTTCACTCACCAGATGTAATTAAACCAAAAAGCCTCCTGAAGCTTTGCAATAGAAAATACCTCCGTTTATTTTTCATTTAAAAGAATAATGATGATACTAATATTTTTTATATTAAAAATATGGTTAACAAAACCAATTACATTAAATAGATCACTCTTGTGCAGAGAATTTTTCCCCATGTGAAAGTCCTTACAGGAACGACAGGGCTGCAGTTAAGAACATATCAGCACTACTGGGGCTTGCTGGAGTTCGAGTGCTCTGGTGACAGGAACAAAAGGGACAAATACAGGGACCTTCTGAGCCACAGCCATGCTCGTGGCTGGCACAGCTCATGGCTGTCCTGAGGGGCAGTGGGTGGTGCAGGACCAGTTGCTGCTGCTCTCACACACAGCAGTTACTGAAATAGCAGATGGGTCAACAGTTGCTGCTCCTGCAAAGTCATCCAAAAAATAAGAAGCCTCTCCAAAAGGGCTACAACTGATGTTACTTTCCTGGGGGGGCTTAACACCAAGAGGCAACGAGAGCAGGCAGACACAAATCCTGTGGCTGAGGCGGCTGCAGACCCCACAGGGCCATGAGTGACCCGAGTGCTCCGAGCAGAGGAGCTCCGAGGGTGACGTGTCCCTGCACCCCTCACCATCAGCGAGCAGGTACGAGTCAGGGCAGGGACTGGCTGCTCTCAGAGAGCTAAATGCTGAAGGTGGCCAGGCCTCCTGTGGGTGACCTGCACTGAGTGAGTGAGCCAAAGCAGCACCCACTCCCCAGCAGGGTTCTTGTTTTGCCATCAGGTCTGAAAGGAGAAATGATCAGACCCCTCAGGGGGCTGTGCTGCAGTGTCACAGCCAAGTCTGTCCCCGTGCTGCTCCTTTGCTGGCAGGAGCTGAGCCCTGGGAGCCTGTGCTGCACTGGGGCACTGTGGAGGGGGTGTCACAGAAGGAGTTTGGCACATTTTGAGCAGATGTTGTGGCCTTAAAGTTGGCAGCTGGGGCTCTGGGGTACTGCCTGGAGCTGCTCACAGGGTGGTGGTGTCCATTGCCAGGCTGTTCACAGCTCCTGTGAGCTGCACCAGGGACTGTGACACTGATAACAGTGATCTGGCTTCTCTAGACATTAGCAACTGCCTGTCTTCAGAGGATGGGTGTAGGATGGATGGATGGATGGATGTCTGCTCATTTATTTAAAGATCTTTGAATGAACACAGCTGAATGTTCCTGCTTTTGTAATGGCTCTGCAGCTCTGGCTTAATTAATGTCTGGAGTTCATGGAGGCGTTCCCAGGACTGTGAGAAATCATCTGGTCCTTCCCCACAGCCCCCAACAGGAGGGACACTGGGGTACCCGGGGTGCACCATCAGCTCGATGGTCACGGTGCCGCTCTGGGGTGCCCTGGGCGGGCGCTGCAGCACGGCGCTGTCGATGGCACTCTGGATGCTGCTGACAGACATGTTCCTGCCCATGGTGCTCAGGCCTATGTAAATGTCTGCCCACCTGCAGCCAGAGGAGGGAACACTGCTGTTAGTGCTAAAGAGGCAGGGAGACAATTGTGTTATGTCCAGTGGATTAGGAATCAAAATTTACCTAAAATTTAAGATATAAAATTGGGAGAAGTTTAAAAAAACTTTTAACTATAAACAGAAGTGAAACCAGAACTTTTCCTGATTGAAACCAGGATCCTATTTCTGCAGCACAGCCCCAGTACTGTCTCTTTGGCAACTGTGAGCTTTCAGGTGCATTTTATTGTCACAAAAACAAAGAGCAACGCTGAACTGAGAAATGCCACACTATCAAAATAAATTAAGCTTTAATAATAACCCTCAGCTAAGTAGAAACAAAAGTGACTGAAATAAAATGGCAACCACGCAGCTAAAGAAGCTTCCTGCCAGAATATATCAAAGAGCTATAATAACTGGACAAAATGTTACTCCTAGAGGACACCACCTACATGCTGCTGCTTAGCTTCACACAATTCTTTGTTCAAGTCTGGCTGCAAGTGTCAAGTTCTAAGTGTGGCCTGGATGAGTCCAGGAGAGCTGAGCCACTGCATGTGAGGGCAGAATGAAAATGTTTTCAGAAGAAATCAAGGCTGGAATCTTTACCTGAATGATCACAGAAGAGCCCAGCACAGCTGTTCTTGAGAAGGGAGAAATAGCAGCCTGCTGCTGGTGTTCAGAACTACTCATACAAAAAATAAAATCCCAGAAGATAATGTTTCCAGTGGACTGAGGAAGTAATGACATCTGCCCCAAAGGACAGGTGACTGCAAGGGTCTCTAGTGAAAGGCCTTTAACCCATAAAACAGTCTAAGCTTTTAAAAGAAGCATTTTATTGGGGGAAGGGCTGAGCTTTCAGGGCAGGGCACTGACAAGGCTGTTTGCTCACAGCAGTGATCACCTGCTGTGGTACTGCCAGCTCTCAGAGCTCATTGCTTCCCCTTAACAAATACCTGTTTCTACTTAGTCTCATTCTTGCTACTTAAAACCCTTTCTCTACTACAACAGGAAGATGAAAATTTAGTTCTTAAATGCTTTCCTTAGGTAATACTTTTGAAATTTCAGCATTGATGCAGCATTTCTCCTGGCATTCCAGATGCCAGGCTGAGGAAGCTTCACTAGAAAGGCTGAGTAGCATACCCTGAAAAAAACATTCCTTTTCAAGTGGAAAGTGACTCATCTCTGTTCAAACAAAACTTCCTAAGCTCTTGTGCCTCTGGCACTTCTGTGCTCCTCCTGATCCTTTCTCTAAGTCCAAAGAGGAAAGAGAAAGATGGTGTTCCATTTTTGAAAGATGCTATCAGGAACTGATACAATCTTAATGTTTTACTACAAAAAAAGGATGAGTAATACCTGTCTTACCTTATTCCATGCTTTGTAAACACATCCACTGTGTTAAAAGAATCTTCTTCTACTCCCAGGTAAAAGTCCATCAGGGATGGTGGAATCCAGTCACAGTTATGAAGGCCTGGCTCTATGGGGACACGTGTGTACTTAATCCCATACTCCTCTAACACCTCTGCAAACACATTCCTGACCTCTGTAAGCAAAACCAGAGATGCAGTCAGGACTTGGATAAGCAGCTTCTCGTGTCCCCTGCAAGCTGTTAGCACAGAGGCTTCCTTCCTTTCAGTGTTTAAGAAATAAAATTCCATTTGGTTTATCTTCTGCTGAAATCCATCTGTATGGGAGTCACCTCCTATACTGGAAACATTTCTCTCTGAACTTCCCCTGCAGGTGCCTTTCTTCCTTTCAGCACTGAGCCTTTAGTCCAGCCCCCCTTCTAAGTGAGTGACTCTGGTCTGCAGTGAGTGCACCAGAGGTGGCTGCACTGTCAGGAACAAATTTTTCATCAAGTCCTTGTACAGCCAGAGCAATGTTATCTGGAGGCAGTCAGTACTGCAGTGGGAAAACCTGGATTCTTTTCTCACTCCATTTTCCATCTGTGTACCACAATGACTTTATTTACAAAACAAAAGATCCTTGCCCATCTCTAAAGCTGAGACCTGCAGGCAGGGACTGAGGTGGGAACATAATGGACAGTATGGAGTTCTGTAGCATCTTAAAGAGCCACCAGCTATTGCAATCTCCAGCATTCCAGTTTGAACTGGCCAGTCTGCTGCTGGCTTTGGTCTGCCTCCTTCAGTGTGGGTGAGAACATGGAATTGGGATGCTGAGAAGAATTACTGTTCTTGGAGGAAGAGGTGTAACCTTGGCCATTTGTGTCATTAATGCCCTGGTGGAAAAACCCAGGGCTCCAAGCAGACTTTGGCTCTGGGCAGGACTGTGGGCTCAGGTGGGAACATTCAAACTGCAGCTGCCAGCAGGTGTCTCAGGGTGGGGCTTAGTGCCCATAAGGGAGCTGGGGCAGGGGAGGCCCCTCTGAGCTGACTCTCACCTGCTTGGTGCAGGAGAAGATTTCCTCCTTACCTGGGAGAACGTGGACGTGCTGGTGCCCATCCATGTGGGGAGGTAGGTGACCTGTCAGCTCACGGAACAGCTCCACCTGGGCCTTGAGCTCCTGCTTCACCTGTGCAGCAGAAAAGGGTCAGAGCAGGACCTGGCAGAGGCTGAGAGCAGGGGAGTGATGGGGCTGCTGGGACCCCACTGGGCAGGAGTCAGAACCCAGCTCTGGGATGTGCTTGTACAGGGATGTGCAGCACTGCTGGGCTACCCAGGGTGTCCCTTGGGCATGGGGCTCTTTGTGGTACTGCTTATGGGAATGGTGGGGATGTTCTAAACATTATTCTAAATATAAATTTCTGTTTAAAATGGATGCAGTTTTGATCACTGAACATGTTTATCCTTGCTCATCCTTTATCCTGGCTGGCAAAACCAGCCACCTCCCTAGAGAACAAAACTTCTCACAAGCTGATGAAAGGCCTGGTACCTACTTAGGTCTTTTCTGTCATTTGCTCTTTACTGATCTCTAGGTTCTTTGTAAATACCTGTCCCAATGCCCTCCTACCTCCTCAGACAAATAATTAACTGTGTATACAGGCACTGAATCAGGGAGGAATGGGTTCTAAAGGCTGCAGAGCCTTTGGCAGAATGAGGCCCAGGACCTGAAGCCAGCTCAAGCTGCACAGGCAGGGTTCATCTTTAAGCAGACTCATAGCTGGGATCTGGGAAAGGCCCTCAGCTGTTATGTGCTGGGATAAATGCAGGCTGATTTTTCAGGAAGGCAAGTTGTACAGCTGTATGTGGCTTTCTCCTACCTCTGACATTTTCAGGAGACCTTTTGATAGAGCTGTTCTGAATCCCATTTTTCCATGGAAGAATCCATCCTGGTTGAGCAGAGAAGAGTTTGTCTTGAGCACCTCACACACAGGGGAGCCCTCGGAGAGGTTGGCATGCAGGCCTGTTGGGATGTTGTATCTGGAGGAGAGGGAAATGTCTGCCAAGCTTTGCACCTCCCTCACTGTGGTCAGAGAGGGGAGATTAAAGTGTAAGAACCAGACTGATCTTAGAGGAGTTGCAGGACTCACTGGAGTACATCTTTGTATCTCAGCTGTGCCAGAAAGGATGGCAGAGTGACCCCAACCAGAGCAGGGCATCTCCAGGTAACAGCCCTGAGCACCCTACCCAGGGCCAGCCTGTGAGTGCCCCCAAACCCTGCCTCCACCCTGGCTCACAGCACAAGGTAAATGCTGTAACTGCACTCCAGGAACTGCAGTCACTGATAACCAACCAAAAAATCCAGATCTTGCAGCTTTTTCTGAAGTGCTCCGTTAGCCCTTGCTAGGTATCCCCTTGAGTTATTCACCCTGTTAAAGATGGTTCATTTATGAGACACAGGAGCTTTACTTGATGACTCCTAAAGCTGCCCTTAAGTAGAATCCACAATTCATATATAAGCAGTGCCCAAGGAAGCTGTGATGGCAACAGCACAGGCTACAGGTGGAAGTACAAGGGGCTGCAGCTGGAACTCCTGCAGTGGCCAGGCTTCTGTCTAGTGCAGCAATCACTCAGTGAGTGGCAAGCATGAGCTGTACAGAGCAGCATCTCCCTGGCACAGCCAGAGAAGGATCAGTGCAAGGAGGCCCAGAGTGAGGTGTAGAGCCTTGCTAAGGAGCCCCAGGGGTATGATTGATTACCCAGTTGCAAGCTGTAAGATTCTTTAAAAAAATCAAAAAAGGGAACTATGGAGCTGGTGTGGCTGCAGAGCTCCCCTCAGGGCTTAGCAGAGTGCTGTGGATTCCCCTACAATGAGAACAGGACTTGTGCATGCTCGGATTTGTGCTGGGTCTCATTAGCATTTCTGGAAATCCTCAGCATCAGTAGCCAAAATGATGCTTTGAAACTTTTTCCAAGACAACCCATGGCCTCTGGCTGACCCAGTGAGGGGATGACAGAAGTGCAATGTTCCATCTGTGCTGCCCAGTCTGAGTCATGGTGCAGAGTGAATTTCAAGACAACAAGTCTGTGATGCTCTAAACCCTTCTTGGAACTTCTGCACGGAGCTGTTAAAAGTGGGTGTGGTCTGTCCCTGACACACCCTGGTACCACAAGGAGAAAACAAAAACAATCTCCATTGAGGCAAAGGGTGCAAAACTGAGACATCTGAAGCTGACTGGTGAAGCACCAGCTCTATGAAGACAAGACTGTGGATGGACTGGACCAAGTCAGAGTCATTTAGCTCATTCAGGTCCTAAGGCTTTGGCCCTAGAAGGACTGAAAGCCTTTTTTTTCCTGGTGCAGTCAGTTGCTAGATACTACTTCTCAAAGACATAAATGTTAGGAGTCAAATTGTATGCACAGCTCTGTGGAACAAAATTAGTCCATTGTGTGATTAAGGAGCTGGAATGCTTGTTTAATGAAGCAAAACAGCTTGTGGAGAAAAGGTCCTCTCTGGCTTTTCTGATCTGGTGATTTCTGTGCAGCAGGGCCTGATTGTTTCACTGATGATGAATGTTCATCATAGCAGGGCCTGAGCACACGTGCACACCAAGTCCTGGCTGCCACAAGAGGTGGAAGCTGTGTCAGTGAGGGGACAGGCTGCAGGGCAGCACAGGAGGCAGCTGCAGTGCAGGGGGTGCTGTGGCAGGAGGGTTCCCCTCCATCCTGTGACTGCCTGGGCACCCTGCACAAGTCCAAAGGCAGAGGGGAAGTCTGTGGTTTTCTTTTAGAAATGCACCCCAGATTCTTTATTCTGTCTCTGGGAAGCTCTTACTGCCTCAGCTGGAGTGTTATTTGTACCACAGCCAGTGCTGCTTGCAAGAAAAAAAGGGTTTCTGTGTTACCATGAATCAGCAGATGGACTTTTTCTGTTGAGTACTCTCTTTCCCGTGTGTTGTGGGAGGGCAAGAAATGAACAGCTGAGCCTCTCAGTGTTGTCTCCCAGGAGCATCAAATGAACTGCCTCCAATTGTGCAATGCCTCCAATGCTGTGAGGGAGGCTATTTCCAGGAGAAGGCAAGTCCCTCTGACAGGTGTGGGACACCAAGGAGCCGAGGGCTGCACTGAGGAACATGAGAGCAGCTCCTGGCCAGGGCTGAACCCAGCCCCAGAGCTGGGAATGTGCAGAATGTGGAAGTGCAGAGAGAGCTGGCCTTGTCCTTGGGTAAGAGGAGACCCTGACTGTAACATTAGAGTGTTTCAGAGCTTTGCCCAACACCAGCTGAATATCTTAACAGTGTTCTCGTGGAGTCAGTCCTGGTTTGACAGACTGTGCATGCTGAGGTGTCTGGGTAGGAACTGCTTGTGTTTAATGGCTCTGGAATAGAGGCACTGAAAGCAAAACTCAAAATGCTGCATGTGAGAAACTTGTTCAGAAATGTTCATCTGTGGGAGGTGCACAGAAGGAGGCATGGGAAGGTTGTAAGGATATGGGGAGAAGGACAGATCAGTGGGTACAGCAGAGTTCCACTGCAAGCTCGCAGGGAGAAAAGTCAAGGTGCAGGAATATCCTGAGAGGGCCCTTTTCAGAGCCCAAATGATTGTTTCTGCTACAGAAATATACTTTGCAGTTGCCCACATCTTTCAAAAGACTGTAAAATAGCTGCTAATTTGTTGGCTGAGATACTGAAGCAGAGACCAGCGGCTCAAGCAGCTTACATAGCATGTGATGCTGCCCTGGGAGCAGAGCTCAGCTGTTGTGGGTTTGGCCTCAAACTCCTCTGCCCAAGCCCTTTCCAGATGGGACAGGGTGAGCCCTGCTGGTCACTGCTGGTCATTAACTGCTAATTGCTCACACAAGATGCAAAATAAAAGGATTGGAATTGGGCTTCAGGCAACAGCTTAGTTTCTGCACAGAGCTACCACTGCCGAAACAAAGTGATGTGAAGAATCTACTTGGTGTCCCTAAATCCTTTTGGGTGACTCTTTTAAGCTGCAGTGACCCTTCCAGTCTGTTTGGAGAGGCTCCTCTGTGTCTGCAAGTCTGTCCCAGTGCCACAGGGAATGCAGAGATGAAGCAGGATTTAGCACAGGGGTTCACTTCACTCCTGATAAAGCCACAGGACACTGGCTGCAGGTGTGTGCTCCTGCAGCAGGAGCAGCATCAGACTGAGCTGCTTGGGAACCTGTGCAGAAGAGGTTCAGGCCACTGAGCTCAATGCATCAGAGAGCTGCTTGCACTGGAAGTTGGCTGTTACCTCTCCTCAGCATTCCTTGTAGAGGTGGGGGGAGAAAAGGAGAGACTTGTGCAGGAGGAAATATCCTTAGAGCAGGTGCTAGAAGGAATTCACCCTGGAAAGATTTCTGAGTCAGCAGGCCCAATCCAGTTATGAAAGAGAAAGGAAATACAGTCAGTTAAACTGCTTAAACTGCTTCCTTTTCAAGTAGTTGCTTGTTTTGCCACACGAGTGCTCTGGATAAGTGTCTCTGCTGAGGCAGTGTGCAGCTGCACTCCCTGTTCATTGACCCTGGAGATGGGCACTGCCCTGAGTCACTGGGGTTGGTGGGTGAGTGACAGTGCCCTGCTCCTGCCTGGCCGTGCCACAGGACACTTGCAATGGCTGTGGGAATGATGACATTTGCCAAGCACTGATCCAATTGCCTTGCTGAAGGCTGGGTGCTCTGGCACAAGCACAGCACTTTACCCTTTCCCTTAATGGGTAAACAGATCCCAGCTTCAACAACCTATTGTATCATCCAGGAAACTGCTGATCATCAGGTTTCAGCCCAAGTGTGACCCAAGTCAGAGCCTCATGTAAATATCTGTATCTCATCATCTCACTCCAGTGAACACCCAAGTGTCTGAAAGCAGACAAAGCAAGGCTTTGAGTTAAAATGTGCACTTCTCACTTTCCTCATATTGGCATTTATAGATTTCCTCACCCACACTTTCACCATTCAGTAATATCTGTCTTTCATCAAATAACATCTTTTCTTGCTCTGTTACTGCTAAAAAACCTACTTCTTCTGCCAGAAATGCCCTAAAGCCTCTGCAGCGTTGAGCTGGTGCTGTAACACAGCTTAGGGACCTGGGTTTGTTGTAGTTACATCTTTGTATCAAGTGCAGCTCCTGTGTCTGTAGCCTCACGTCAGTGAAATGGGCTGCAGCCAGTGAAGTCAGTGTGCTCTGGGATTCTGGGTGAGGCTTCAGATTGGGCCCCACCCCTACCCCAACAGTTCAGCAGAGGAACTGTCTGCTGTGTGATCAACAGTCACATAACAAGGGTTGATGAGAAAGCATGAGAGATTTCTGTATTAGTCAGATGTTAACTGGGAGGGTCAGAATTCAGTCACAATTTACAAACATATTTTGCAATTAGTGTTGATGGGAAAGGAAGTGAAAACAGAGAGAGTAATTAAATGTGGCTTTGTTAGACCCTTCTGTTACATGTACCCAGATGTTGTGGGGGCTTTGGCTGATGTTCAGTATTAAACTGTATTTAAACTGCAAAAAACTACCCAGGAAGACTGAGGGTGTGTTCTAAAATACGTCACTCTTCATGAGCTATTTGGACACAAATGGAAAAAGGTCCTAAGGCTCAGTGATACCTGACCTGTTTGATGTGAAGGGGAGGGGTGGGAGGATATAGCAGCAAACTGTCTTAGATGTCTCTATTTCTATCTCCACATTTCTAAGGAAAAATTAAGGCATCTCTTCATTTCAGGTTACAAAATAACCCTTCCAGTTTCTGGGAAAGGCTCTGGAATAATCACCAGGAAGTCTGGCTAACTTCAAGCAGGGCCTGTTAAGTAGAAAATTGAGATTGTATTATATGGATAAGCAGGAAATCACAGTCAGTCAAGGCCCCATAAAGAAAAAAGTTTTGAGTTACTGAAAAAACCCTCAACCCACAATGGCAGTCTGTTCTCCCACCTGCTGCTCTGGTTATGTTCTGCTCTGGCAGATGCTATCAATGGGTTTGTCATTTGGTGATGGATCAGGCCTCTGCTGAAACTCCTCTGTTGCCAGAAATGAGTGTGCCCCTTCTTTCAGGCCAGTTGTGACAGTGGATGAGGGAGCCCAAGGTGCTGAGCCTGGATATTAAGGAAGGTGTATTTTTTACTGCTTAATTCTGCTGTTCTGCAGTTGGCTTGTGGTAGAGCTGCTACAAAGATGTGCTGACTATCATCACATGTCTGCCAAGGCTTTTAATCAAGGCTCAAGGCAGCAGATGGTATACCCAGAAACTACAGAATTATTGTGAAAATGAAAGGAAGAAAGAAATTTCAGAGGAACTGTGTTCCTTTCTGAAGGATGCCAAGTCCTAACATTGTAAGGCAGCATGAGGTGCTTAGGAAGGAAAAGTTGTCTACTTATTAATTAGCTCTGCCTGTCTCCAATTAACTTAAAACCAGGTGAGGAGTGAGAGTCTAAGACTTGCAGCTACAAGCAATCCTGTCATAGACAGTTTATCAAGAAGCCATAAAAGCAGTCCATCACTCTGACAATCCTGGCACTATGTGTGTGAGAGACCAAATTCCACAGCACTGGAATGTGCCCAGGAAAGGACAAGCTACTTGCTTCAAGCCTCTTCTCTCAGCTGGGGACAGATCCACTCTTCCTGCTTATGCCATTGGTCAAGGCTGAATAGGGCAAGACAAACACGAGGAGAAAAAAACCAACAGGCAGACTTTCATCCCATAATAGAGAAAGCCTCAATATTTACAGTGGGATGGGAGATGTCACCAAGCAGGGGAAAAGGGAATAATATTGGCAAGGCAGTCAAGGCAGTGATGCTTTCCCATTTCTGCAGCACAAGATGAGGAAGACTCAGTGACATTTCTAGCAAGTCTGACCCATTTGTCATCTGTGCAGAAAGAGTTTGCGTCAGCCTTTGTGACATGAACAAACATCTCAGGGGTGACACAGGGGTTTGTTTACACACACAGGTGCCAATTAGCTGCAGCTGAAGCTGGGCTTGCATTACAACATGAGGAAACCTCTTCTCCACACCTGCTAATGCTCCTACCATGGCTGGGTAGGGCTGAATACACCTGCAGAAAGTTACACAAATGAGGAACTGTAGAACCTGGGCTGGTGATCTTCAGAGCTGGCAGATGTTCCCAAAGTCACCCTGCTTATATGCTCAGAAACAGATTTAAATCCATTTCATTCACATTGACAATTCAAAATTATGTTCCCCCACCCAAAAAAAAATCAGATTGTAGCAGCAGGCTGCAGCCTCTGCTGTCCCCTGCCCTCCAACCTGACTTTTCACACCCATCAGCTGCCAGCACCAGTGTCATGACCCGGATTCAAAGATGCTTTTTAAACCCCCGATTACATGGCCTACTTCCTGGCTATGGAAATGAGGCCAGGTGGATTCTATTTTAAAAGCCTGCTAAAGACCGTGGCTAAAATAGCTGACAACATCACCAGAGCACTGGGGCTTAAAGGGTTTCACAGTGCCTCTGTGGCAGAGAGATGTGCTGGCCTTATCTCTGTGTTTTATGTTTCATTTACTAATAGGATTTTAGGAATCTTACTGGCGTGGTGCCTCTCCCCTTCTCGTTGCCAGGCAGTTGTGGGGAATCTTTAGCCTTTTTACTGACCAGATTGCCACTAGCACAGCACCCTGGCTTTCCTCCACTACCCTGCTCCAAAGAAGCTACAAGCAATTTCCAAGTACCCCTAAAATCACAGCAAACTGAGGAGAGATGCTCAGTGAGAACAAGGTCAGCAGAACTCTCATGAAACTCTTCCCCACAGCAGCTGCATTTGAGGCATAAGGTCTCAGTTTATGTAGTAGCAATACAGCTCCTTTGCTTTTCTGCTCTCCTAAATTGTTTCTCAACCCTGATATTCTCTCTTTCAGGACATATTCCTGCTTCCAAGCACTTGCCCACACCAGAGCTGAGTGGTTTAGCTGGGTTTTACCTCCTAAACACAAATAATGCTTCTTATTAAAGGATTTGCTGGACTAGGCTATGAGACTGACACATAGCATTTGATCCACTGCAGAGCTAAGTGTGCCAGCAGCCTCTGAAGTTGGTGAAGTAGTAAAGGTGGTAGGTACAAGGTATTGTGCCTTTCTTTATGTATGCATTTTTACAGATATGCTTATTAAACCTGGGATTAATAGAAATATTGATGTGCTTTTTAAAAAAGGTTTATGGGGTGGGGAAAAAGTCAAGTTTTGCACTGCCCAGTTTTATAAATAAGCCTTTGCAGAATCACACCTTTGCCTGATTCTGCAATGAGTCTGGCTGACCTTGTGTCCAGCCTGGGTGAAATGGATCAATTAAATGAGATTTAAAGACTTGTGCTTTTATGCTCTTATAGTTTTAGGGGTAGCAGACTGGTCTGAGTATATAATGTACACTTTCCTTCTGATGATGCATTTTTAGAAGTGTGGGAGGAGAAAGTCTGACAAACCCAAACTCTACTAGTCAAACAGTGGAAATGGCTTCCTAATCCTGAGGGAGGAAAAAGGTGCAGTGGCCAATTCTAGAGAAAAGACCATTACTGGTATGAGTTAGCAAATCACTGGTTTTACTATGAAGAGTCTTAGTAAATGTGTCTGAATACAGTTTTCCTATACCAGCCTGAGCTGTGATACAGTGTTTATTCTGGGGGAACGAAATACTATATTTTCCAGGCTTGGTTTCTCTTGGAGGCTGTCCACAAAGGACCTAAAGAAAGTAGCTTACCTCCTTGCCAGCTTGGCTGCATCTGCTGCAGCACTTCCGTTGACTAGAAGGGACACGTTAGATACGGCACCAGCCAGGAAACAGTCCACAATGCCTTGGTTTCTCCGAGGACAGTAGCCGAAGTCATCTCCAGTTATTATTAGCTTCACCTGAAGCATCCTTAGATGTCATCCCTGGCAAAAAAAAAGTTAAAGGAGGTTAAATCGGAACACTCGGCAGCCTGCAGATCACCGGCACACAGGAAAAGAGAGGCTTACCGCGGGCAAAGCCAATCGTGACTCAGCCCCGGAGTGACTCCTGCTCCACCTCAGCCCGCCGCTGGCTCGCAGCTCGCCCTGTGGCGGGATTTGCGTGTGGCCGGCGGGCTCAGCACCCAGCCCTGCCCGCTCCTCCCCGAGAGCGGCAGCCGGGCCGTGCCCTCCCCTGGGGGGCAAACCCTGCGTGCGCTTCCACCTCTGCCGATGAGAGAGTGCGAGAGCTTGGTGGGATGATTGAATCGATCGAGGGTGCGTCAGAGGGTCAAATTCCATTGCCGGGCCCACCCTCGCCCGCGGTGCCCAGTGAAATGCCAGGGGTGCGGATCACCTGAGGCAGCCCTGCCTGCAGCCGTGACGTCTTTGCGGCCACCGATCCCCGGCTCCATCGGGTGCGGGCCGTGTTCCCGGGGAGAAGCGGGACGGAGCGCTGCGGGCCCGCCAGCCCCCCTCCCCTGCCCGGGGCGGTGCGTACCTCCGCTCCGGCCCGCTCCGGCTCCCAGGGCCGCCGCCAGGTGTGTTCGGCCGCCGCTGGCCCTGTGGGGACGCTGGCCCCGGCGGCGGAGCTGTGTCCGCGCCGCCCGGCCGCGCATCCCCCCTGCCCGCGCTGCGAGCGGCCCCAGGCGGGAGCTCCCGCCGTGAGGCGAGCACGGGGCGGCCCCGCCGCAGCTCCGGCGCCTCCGAGCGCGGCGAGCACCGGGGAGGCCCCGGCGGCGGCCCCTGGCGGCGGCGGCCCGCAGCGCCGCACGGCACGGCACGCCCGGGGAACCCGCGCCGCTCTCTGCGGCCGCCTCTGCTCCAGGCTGCCGAGGTGAGACCCGCCCGTGGCTGAGTGGGACAGGCCATTCAGTTCGTGCTCTGTGCTGGCTACAGCGCAAAACCGCTGATCCCAATGATGCCATGGATGTATAATCCTGCAATCAGTGACTGTCGCAGTAGCCACTCGCTTGTTTTCCCCCACCTTGGTTTGCTGGCAGTGCACACTCAGTCTGACTCAGAGCCGCAGGGCAGCAAACCCTGGCCAGGGGGTCCCGTGGCACTTGGTGCTGGGCTAGAGAAGGGCAGGGAGAACAGATGAGACTTTCACGAAGGGCAGCTTCTAGCACGCTGTCATTCAGTGCTGGGTGCCAGCCAGTTCTCCATCAGGCTGCATGTAAAATCTTATTTGTCCTGGCATTGAACTGCTTTTTCTTACTGCAGAAAAGCTATTCTGGATCTACCAGAATGAAAGTGAAAGTGCCAAGTACTCAGCTTGAAATGGAGAGTGGAAGATGCTGTCAGCCGGCATTCTTCACCTGTGGAAGAGGATGAAGTTCTATCTAAGTAGAACAACCCCCTTCTTGGTCTGTAGCGTTATCCCAAAACATTCACCCACTTCTGATATTGCAGGAGAAACAACAAACTCGTGGTTGAGGTAGGGGGAATGGCAGCTCAGAAATGCCTTGGTAACATGTCCATGGATCCAGGGCAGCTGTCCTGGTGTTTGCTGTAACTTGTCCCAGGAAGCAGGGATCACACTGGGACTGGGACTCTTGCATGGATGATGGTGATTTCCACCTCTGAAGCTGTGCCAGCATGGAGGTAAGTGGAGCAATAGCTGACAAGCCAAGCACCAGCTTCTTGGAAGAGCAGCTGGAGTGAAATGGGTTGGAAAAGGCTTTAAGGGTCGTTTCTTTGGGAATGGGCTGACAATCCTGCTGCTTAATTCATGTATAAAGAAATGACAGCCTCCAAGTGTCTCCTTGTTCAGCAGAGTTCAATCCCTAAGAGACAGGCAGCGTGCCCATGGCCCAAAGTCAAGGATGTGACTTGTAGGCACAGCCAGAGACTGATGATCTTCAGCAAAGCAAGGACCATCAGTTTGGAGACAGAGCTACACTTCAGCAGAGGAAACTGCACCCTGTTCACACCTGAAGTTTGAAACATCTGTGTTGGGGGCATGAACACCTGTGGGAGTAATGGCTTTCCAGGTCTGTCTCCTAACAAGGAATTTGGAATCACTGAGTTGAGGTAGGTTGCAGCCCTGTTGATCTTTAGACTCTCATTAATTGCAGTCCACGTAGCAAAATGCTACAAAACTTTGTTTCCATCAGCCTCAGAGTGCACTTTGAGGGGCAGCTAAGTTTTGGATGATAATTTGTAAGTTTATTTTGATACTTTGAAGGAGAAAAATAAAATCAGAATGGGTGGTAGCAATATAATTCATAGTAGAATTTGGTTCCTAGGCTGTGGTCTCCCTCTAGGCCCCAAAATGGGCAGCACTGGGAGCATGGGAGACTTCTCTGCATCGAGGGGACATCAGCTGTTTGTCACTTTCTTACTTTCTTGCTCTTCCCTGCTCATGTAAATGAGTGATGACTACTGGAAATGATGGTGAGAGCTGGAAGACAGCCTTCTGCCTCTTCAGTGACATTTTCTCTTAGAAAGGAATTATATGAAATGAAATTCAAAACAGATCATGCTAAAATGCTGTAGACAACTTGCTAAATCTTCATTCAGTCAATTCCTGTGAGCTTTTCTGTCATTTGATAGTAGTATGGCTCTGTTATAGAGAAGTTTTTGATGTTCTGTAAAGGTTTTCAGTGCCCTTGGCATTTCAGAGGGGATATTTTGCACCTGCTGCTTGCTTCCCCTTCTGGGAGATGAACGTCACAGCCTGCCCACGCTCCCCAAGAGGCTTCACTTACTGATGAGTGCTGTTACTGCACAGCTGAATCAGCACAATTCTGAAGTAATGTCATGAATCATAAAACAAGTACCTCCTCTCTTTGCCAATGCAAACTCTGGGGTTTTCTGCCTCTTTCTAGAAGTGCCAGTGCTCCCTGACTGTGCACAGGTGAGAGGAACAACATAAGAATCTTAGACAAAGCTTGGCTTCTCAGCCTTATTAACCTTAGTATGCATTTAATGCTATTAACAGTAACATCCTTCTTAAATATTTAATGCACTTCCTGGAGGCTTTTCTTCTCTGATTTCATACCTGTTTATCCAGCTCTCCTTCCTGCTACTGGAAGCAAATATTCCCCAGCGAGCAAACCTTGTCCCTGTGCCACATCCCCTTGGCAGCAGAGCTCCCTCTGCAGCCTGCACTGCCAGGACAGCCCTTGCAGCTGACCCCACAGAGCCCAGAGCTGAAAGGCCCTTACAAATTCAGCCTGGAGCTGAAAGGCAAGGCAGACTTCCTCTGGACAGCCTCTTCTCTGCACTGAGGACAGGCACATTGGCCAGGACTTCTGGTGGAGCTGCATAAGCCAGGACATGGACTAAGGAGAGGCTGCATCTTCCAGCTTAACTAAAACAAAACACAGCCCAACCTCAGCTTAGCTGCAAAAGCCAGCAGGAGCTCTCACCATCCTCAAGTGCTTCACTGCTTTTGAGCTTGAACTTCTTTCCCTGAACTTTGAGTTAATCAGTAGAAATGCTGAGGTTTCCTGTATTTCACAAAAGTGTTTTCCAACAATTACTGCTTCCAACAAGGCATCTGTTTACATGTTGACATAAAAAATGTGTTTTCTTTTTCTTGTTCCCTTGGCTGCAGCTAGTTAGTTCATTTGGGATTACAATGGTAGCACAGTAGGACTTTGTTTGTCTTTTCCTTGCATGAAATTTTGTTGAAAGTGTGAACTCTAAAAGGCATTGAAATGAGACAAAGTAAAATCCATTTTTTAAATGAAAAGACGTAAACATTTTCTTTTCTGTCCCAGCCTCAGAGGTTTTGTAATCTCTGTTCCAGCCTCAGAGGTTTTGTAAATCTTTGAAGTTCAGTGGTTTCTGTAGAAATGCTTAAACTACAGTTTTTCATCCATAGAACATCTTCCTCCATCCTGCATCAAAAAGGTTTGAAACCCCCAAACTCTGGGGATTTCACTCTGCTAAGAGTGAAAGGCTTCCCTGGTTGCCAGGCAGTACCTGTCACCTTCCTTCATCCATGTCTGAAATATCTGAATTTACACCAGCACAAAATAATGCCTGGCAAGGTGTGTGGTCCTAGCAAGGTGGCTGAAAGGCAAAATTTGCCATTGTGACCTTCTTGTTAACTTGGCATTAAATTATGGAGGACTGCTAAAAGCACCAAACTCAGATTCCTCCTGATGCACCTGGCAGGCCTCTGGTCCTTGGTGAAACTGTGGCTCATGGATGGTGAGTTTTTATCCACTCTCCCTTTTTTCAGAGGGTTATTTTCTCTCTGCTGCATTTCTTTCAGTGTCTAATGTGTGGTAAAAATTAATATTTGAATACTACAGCATCTGTGACTTCTAACTGGGGTTGAGATGATGTAAAGCCTGCACATTCCTTTTCCAGATACCTCTTTGCCTGATGTTGAGGTCTATAAAGACACCTGGTCAAAAAAGAGTAGAGATGGGGAATATTTCTCCTAGACAATTAAGTGACGGGTCCAAAATAGGTACTGTTTAACTGTGCACACTAATAGCTAAACCTAGACTGTCTGATTCCATCAATTCTTTGATTGCATCAGGAATTCAGTTTGACCTCTCTGAAAGTTATTATAAAAGATGCATAGATGTTCTGTGGAATTTTCAGAATTACATTAATGGTTGTCTACCACTGAAACAGATGTCTAGAGGTTTTGTAAATCCCATTAAGAAGTAAGTTATTTTAAAAGCTGCCTGAATTGATGTAACATAAATTGTGTTTTTACATTCTTATTATAAAATAGAAGCTAATCATCAAAACAACAATTCAAATCCATGCCTACAAGTTCTAAATAACTTCCTCAGTTTCAACTTACACTGTATAAACAAAAGCAGAGTTATTGATTACTGCAAATGTTGATCAGGAGTCATTAAAACAAATTAAAGATACCAGAGGCAGGTCCTTATGTTAAGAAAAAAAAATAAATGCAAACATGGGTAACACCTCAGCAGCGTCACTACACAGGAAAGTTCATCTGGCAGATCACTTACAGTGGTTGTTGTCACCTCCCAGCATCACTGAAAACATGGGGGAAATCCCAGTTGATGGAATGGAAATGCAGATTAATTCCTTTGGGGTTCTGAGGGGAGATCCCCTGCTCTTGGAGGACAAGCATCAGGCAGGAGAGTGGCTCAGAGATGGAGACAGTGACAGACACATTGCAAGCACTCTGCAGAGCTTCCCAGGAAACCCTCTCTATCTCAAAGACTAGAAAGAAAAGACAGCAATTAAAAAACATCAAATCTTCTCCCCCAGATGGAAAAAATCTCCAATTTAAATACATAAATAGGTATATGTTAATACTTTTTTGTCAAATGTCTTACTCTGCTTATTCTTATATCTACTGAATGCAAAAATCTGAGTAAATTATTTTGGTTATCTAATCCTTAAACAACTTAGGCTGAATGATAAGAAATTGGAATTCTACAAATTTTTAGCAAGCCATTTTTTATCACTTGGATTTCTCCCTAGCAGACATATTTTATCATTATTACTCCTGTTCACTGTTTGTGTGAGGCTTAGGGGTCACAGTTGGAAGAGCTCTGTTGCAAGGCATGCCAGTGGAGACAAATGTTTCATCTGAAGTGAGGTTTATAACCAGCTGTTCCTCAGTGTGGAGTGAAAGGAGGAGACAGAGAAAAAGCACACAATCTTTGCAGATCTGATTGTCTGCATCTACTCTGTTGAGTTCAGTAGAGTTCATAAAATTGACATAAGAGAAGGCACCAGAGGCAGAGAAAAGCCAATGGAAGGGCTCATGTGGGCTCGTTTCTGTATCAGGTACTAATGGCTTCAGAACTGTCCCTGTCTGCTGTGCCTGAGGTTTGTGTTGGTCTGACAAAGAGCCCAGGTGCTGCTGTAGGGTTCTCCATAAATCAAGGGCAGTCTGTACCAAAAGATGCACCAGTGCATTTTGGGGTGTGGATCACACCCAGGATTGCCAGCTCTGCTACCTTAGCTGTCAGTAACTGCTCCAGTCATGCAAAGCAAACAGAAAGTTTAAAGCCAAAGAAAGTTTAAACAAAGGCTAACATAAAAACTGGTCTTCTTCTATATATCCTTTATAGAAGGATCCTTTATATCCTTTTTCTGTAATCTGTTGCTTTGGGTAAGCATACACCCTCTGAAATTGTCTTGTGCCACAGATTGTTCATTCCTGCATGTTAAAAGCATTTGGCACTACTCAGTCATTTTCTCAGGGAGGGCCAGGTTATACCTACAGCTGCACCTGAGTGGAAATGGTAGGAGTTTCCAAAATGCTTGAAAATCAATTTGGCATAATGGTGAGGAGTGTTTGAGTGATTGAAGGCTTTGTAGCTACATTTTACATTCTCCCCTTTTACAGCACTGTTGAATTATTTTGTTTCTGTGCATAAACAAGAATCATAAAGAGATTCCTATCAAAAAAAGCTGATGTTCCCATGACCAAGGTGAAGCCACATAATTTCTGAGGCAATTTTACCTGGAGCTTACAGCAGTCTAGCAGGAACAATAGAGGGCCCTGTGGCACTGAGGCGCTGTTAATTGCCGTGGGTGTCAGGCACTGATGGCTCTTTGCTGGCAGCCGTTCTAACCCAATTATGTTTCTAAAGTGGGGCTGAAAAGCGTTGGAGGGAGCAGCGTGTAAACGGCACTAAATGCACTGAGACTGAGCGACCTCCCAGAAAGACAGACAGGTGCCAGCTAAAGCCCCAAATGATTGATTTGCCACGGCTAAAACGGCAACCACAGACATCTGGTTTTGCCCCAGCTACAACAACAGAAGCAATACTGGGGTGGTGAGTTTTGTTTCCCACAGAAAAGGGCTGGAATTTGTGTCCAGGGGTCTGCCCCCACCCAGGTGCCTGTGACCCCGAGTGGGCTCCCACCTCCCAAAATTCTGAAATGGCACAGGATGTCTCCCAGAGCCAACCTGCCACCACCAAGGAGCAGGGTGCCCTGGCAGTGCCAAGCACCTCCTGCAAACTGACATCAGGAAACTGATTGTTGTTTTCTTAGCACACCAAGGCTGCTTAGAATGATGTAAAAATATGGCATTTAACTGTCAGTGGGGGAGCTTTTGCTTTTCTGTGAGTAAAGCTTTATACCTCCAGCACTAGGAACTGAGTTTTAAGTCCTGAGGAAAGCACACTGTGTGTGCGTGTGTGTACAGACACACACATATATGTGACCTGTGTTTAGTACTTGGGCTTGTTTTAATGCTCACCTGGCATTTAAGTAAAATATTTTTCTCAAATGTAGGTACAGCTGTGGAAAACAGGCCAAAGCCAGCACAAAAAACCTAACCATTTGATTGAGTGGTATCACATGGGCAGGAAAAAACCTCACTGCTTCAGGACTGGTGGAAGAGAGAGTCAGCTGAGCATCTTATGATGTTTGCACTACCCAGCAACACTCATGTGCTTTCTAAATCTTCTTGTAATATCAAGTGCAGTGTTTTAGTTCTTTGCTGTTGCAAGAACAAAATACTGTTACTACAAAGATGTAAGTCATAAGATGGGAGCCCTTCTACCTGTTTCCTTGCCACTAAGATCAAAATCTTTTGCTCTTTTGAATTACTTTGAATTATTCCCAGTTTTACATGAGACTCACACAAGGCTGTGATGTGGTACATGGGTCAGCCCACTGAGCAGTTTCAGAGGTAAAAGAACTGTGTAGGAGTTCAAGTGTCCTTTGTCAATGGCTGCTTCTCACTGAGAGTTTTTTGGGGGAGTATTTCTTCAGTTTGCAAAACTATGCAATAAAGGACTGTATGTTTGTATGTTAACTTATGCTGGGGTTTTTTCTACAGAATAGAGCTTAATAATCTCTTAGTTATAAGAACTTTGCAAGAGATTGAAGCACAGAAGGTGAATTTTGGGATCCAAAAGCAAAGATGTTATGTTATTGCTACAGCTTAATGGTACAGCAAGCATTGCTAGTTCTTTGTGTAGTGTTTATGCCCTATAATTAGAAGGTCTAATATAATCCAGAAATTACTGGAGCTGTAATTATCATCCAAGTCACTTCACAAACATGACTTCCCTTTGTTTTTCAACACTGTGTTACTTTTCTCTGTAAATCCCCCAAACGGGGAGATATTTACTCCATTCTAAGAGCCAGAACTGCAGGGAGGACCAGAGCTAAATGTGCCGCTGAATGGAACAGCAGGGGCTGATTGACCCGACAGTGCAACTGCGGCTCCCCGAGGCGGGATCCGAGCACTGCCCGTACCGGGGCTCTGACCTCCGGGCCGGTTTGTCTGGCACTGCTCTCGCTGTGAGGACATTTGTCTTTCCCTGGCTCCGGTAATACCCGGCCGGTCCTACCCACAGCACGTTTCCCTTCAACAACCTCTCAGCCTGACCTGGCTGTGATTGTTCATACAGCCCAGATCACGTTAGACAAGGGGGTCGCACTGACACACCTGGCCTCTCCTACGTTCTCAGCAAGGGCAAACTGCAGAGCCGTGTCAGCGCTGCCACGGGGGTGCCCGGCAGGCGGCGGCGACACCGCTCCACTCCCGGGGGTGCCCAGCAGCCGGCGGCGACACCGCTCCACTCCCGGGGGTGCCCAGCAGCCGGCGGTGACACCGCTCCACTCCCGGGGGTGCCCAGCAGCCGGCGGTGACACCGGGCCCGGGGGCGGCAGCAGCGCGGCCCCGACCGGCGCCGTGAGGGAGAGCGCCTGCAGTTCTCCTTCGCGTCCTCACACGAGGGGGGGCCGCCACGCCGCGCTCTCTGATTGGCCACTCCCCTCCTTGCCGGTTCGCCGTAGCTCAATGAGGACGCGCGGCGGAGTGGGGGGCGGGTGGTGATTGGCTGAGTGCGGCAGTGGGCGGGGCGGTGGCTGGGCCCGCGCGGGGGAGCGGAAGCGCCGCGCTGAGGGCGGCAGGGCTGAGGGGGCTGGGGGGCGGCGGGGCCGGACCGGGTGCGGCGCGATGCGGGGCGGCCGCCGCCTCTTCCCGCTGCTGCTCCTGGCGCTGCTGCCCGGGCTGTGCCACGGCAGGGAGTCGGCGCCGGGCGCCGTGACTTGCGGCTCGGTGCTGAAACTGCTCAACACCCGCCACAGCGTCCGGCTCCACTCTCATGAGGTCAAGTACGGCTCCGGTGAGCAGGGCCTGGCCGGGGAGCTGGAACATGGCGGGACACGGGCTGTGAGGGGCCGAGGAAGCGGCGGGGGGACAGGTCGTGCCTGACAGGGAAATGGCGGGGGTGGGCCGGCAGTGAGGGTGGTGGGGAAGGTTGAGGAAGTTGGAGTGTCCCGAGATTCCTATCCCTGGTGCTGAGGGAAGCGGCAGGCCCGGGATGGGGTGTAGGGATGGGCTGCAGGCACGGCAGGGACAGGGGGATGCTGAGACCTGTGGGACAGGAAGATGTCGGGAAGATGTGTCAGCTGCGCTGTGGGCCCTGGAGCCGGGATGTGGCAGGGCTGCTTTGCCCTCATGAGGCAAGCCCTGCTGTTGTCTCGGCCCTCAGCAGCACCTTCCCCGTGCCTGCTCTGACAACGAGGGTGTTGGTCTGTTGGGGAACACGAAGACCTTGATAGTATTTTTGATAAAGATGGGATATTGTGAATAGTACCTGTCATGGATCAGATTTTTTTTCTTGTGTTCACCATGAACTCTGACAGTTTGCATCTGCGAATACATGCTGTGTTTCACTGCTTCCATCTGAAAGATGATTTGGTACCTGCATTCCTTTTGCAGTCAGTAAATGGACTGTGAGAATTAAGCATCTTTTAAACATGAGGGCATGACAACATTCAAGCAAATCTCTGTAGTTTTCTCACGTCTTTTTGAACTGGGGAAGCAGGATAAGTCTGTGTAATTTAATTTTATTCAACCAGGAAGTGGGCAGCAGTCAGTGACAGGAGTTGAAGCCTCAGATGATGCCAACAGCTACTGGCGGATCCGTGGGAAGAGTGACAGCAGCTGCCAGCGTGGGACACCAGTGAAATGTGGGCAAGCCATACGACTCACCCACGTTAACACTGGGAAAAACCTGCACACTCATCACTTCCCATCACCACTCTCCAATAACCAAGTGAGTTGGTTTAAATCTTAAGCTTTTGTACAAGTAGTGCATGCTATTGACAAGAGTCTCTCCAGTTACTTGGGTTTATGGAGAATCAGGCTTGAGTACCAGCTGCCAGAAGCAGTGTGTCTGTGCATATCCAGATTCAAGTATAGGCTTTTCTGCATCTTGAAATGATGTATTTCAGTTCTTGACAGAGGTAATATAGTATGTGCC